AGTGGCTGTAGTAAGCCTAGTCTGATGGGAGGTCATTAAAAAGACACTGGTCAGACTCATCCAAAAAGGAGCAAGCCAAACAGATAAGCTGATGAACTCAACCAGTTAAAGTGGAAAGGGATAAGTCCCTAGGGAAAGAGGTAAGTCATGGGAAAAATAAGCGATGATGACGTCCAAACAGGATAGCAAAGGACAGTCTTAACTGGAAATAAAAGATGATCAGTAACAGAAGGATCAGATAATGAGGAAATAAAAGAGAGAAAAACAACTGATTACAATCCCAGGCAGTCCAGTTTTTGGAAGAAAGGAATGATCAGAAAGTAAAGCAACAGGTCTTTATGACAGAGAGAACAGGAGAAGGTGAAGATATGAATGTCAGAATGAAGATGATCACAAGTAGAAGGAGAAATCAGTTGAAAGTAAGAGAATATTAATGAGCAAGATAGAAAAGGTGTGGATAAGGTGTTGACATTTTTAAACCAAATGAAGGGCAAAAACAGAAGACTGTTAAATTTGAGTTTATCATTACAAGAGTATGATTTGAAGATAATCCATGTCAAAGGGGTTGATAACATTTGTGCTGATGCACTCTCACATACTATGTAATTTTATGATCACAAGATTATTTGTATTAATTGTGCTGTGTACTGTCATGATTATTGAAGTTTTGTAATCCTTTGAGTAATGTATTGTTGCCAATGTATATACATAATATCTTAGTTATAAACTGTCTAATACCAATTTTTAATTCTATAAGGAGGGAGTTGACGGATTTATTATTATATATTTATTTTAATATCAACATTTGTTAGATTAAATTTATATTTAGAAACATACGTAGCTTATGCTGTTAAATATGTATTGCAAAACTCCCTCCTATTCTCCAAAGTTGTAGAAGATTATATAGAGTAAGAATCAACAATATATGTGTGTATGTAAATGCTTGTGTTAGATTCAGTACTGTTACTTGAAACTGAAATTTCGAGAAACTCTCCACACGACCATAAATATAACCAACACGACGTGCCAAAAAAAAAAAAAAAGAGTATCTATTATTGGTTTGCTATAAGTTTCAGAAGCTATAAATGTGATTGTTTTAACACTTATCAATCGGAAAACTTCAGATATTTGACCAGGAGCATTTACAAACTTTGAACATTACATATCAGTTAACATCTGGATTCTCATTGGACATTAGTATTTATATAAAAACATTATATAACTTCATGGTGGAAAACTCGGCATGTGTGGCTGGTGAATAATGAAGAACAAAGCTAGCTAGCTCCCTATTAATTGAATTATACCAATGTCAAATCATAATGAACTTACTCATAGTGAACCCTCGATAAGATATTCAAGAAGTTCCAGACTAGAAAGAAGACTCTATATTGCTTGTAAGTTTGTGAAACTTTTGTTTATAAGTCATTCTTTGTAATAACTGTTATTGTAAGTTGTGTTGTTGTGTGTATATTAAAATGTATTTGTGTTAAAAAAAATTGTATGTATCAATCTTGTTAGCAAATATCATAAATTGACTATATATCAGCTTTTACTTAACTGCTAAATCCAAAATACAATTTGAGTATTAAATTTAAAGTATCATTAAGCTCGGTTTCAGACCATTTGACATTGTAATACGTAACAACATACTAAACACACTGGTAGGAGACAGAAACCCAAGGAGGAGGGAAATTCGGAAAAGGATCAGACCAAATGCAAACACCTCAGAACCCAAGGATCTGTGAGAAATTATCTCCAAACTTGGGCAAAGCAGTTGAAAACATTGTTGTACCTTGTCCTATGGAGTAAGAATGTGTGTATGTTTTAGAGCAATTGTGGAATCAAACCCCAAACTCTAGTGTTGGGAGTCCATGTACATGATGTTGTCCTGGCCCCCAACCCCTCCCACCAGAAGACATCTAGATCACCAGATGTCCCAAAACCAGTGCTCCAAGGACTGACAGCAAACATTTGGGAGGCCAGAACTGAACAGGGGGAGGAACAGGGACAAGGGGGTATGGGAGAAAAGAAAGGCCAACTGAAGTTAAGCAACAGGGCTGACCTAACCCTGGGCTACCAAGATTTGGGAATACCCCCCAAAACAATCACCTGGTATCAAACAAGTGTCATTCTCAAAAACCAAAGTAAGGGGGGTTTGATCCCCATCAAGGAACAAACTACACCACACTCTGCAAAACAAAAGGTGGAGGCCAGAACGACAACATATCCAAATTATGTGGGGGGGTCAAGGTATACATACCCCCAAACTTAATTGGTCACCAAAACTACAACTGGGACTCTTAATAGCTTGAGGGATTCAGGGAACACTAAAATTGACCCCACAGCTCGTTACAGAGAAGGGCAGAAATATAATGAAAATAAATAAGATTTAACAGGTCTACCAAAGGGAAATGAGGCCTGAACACTTTCCCAGAAATGACACGTGACTGGGAGACACAAGTAGGAGGAGGAACTAGGCAGCTGAAATCATCATCATTATGTACAGACAAAATAGTACAAAATATAAGAGATTAATCAGCAGGCACTACATGTCCTCCAGAACCCACTGAAGTGGAATCATGTGTAAAGAAGTCAGAGATCACACAGAAAGAGAGTAAAGAGCCTTCAATACCAAGATCTCCATGGCAAGATTCAATAAAATTCCTCCAAAAGTGTCAAAGATGCAGAAGATGAAAGGAAAGAAGACAGATGAGAAGATGAAGTAAGAAAAGCACGACAGCCCTGAAGAATGAACTTGCACAACCCAAGGGTAACCAATGAAGGGTTACTATAGATATGTAAGGGGAGAGAGGCATGCACTGAAAGTTCCAGAGCTAAGAATCTGATCCAAAGATGATTTACCTCCAAGTGTCTCGTTGTCCTGCACGGTGAGAAAGGAGAATGACAAGTAGAAGTGATAAGGCATGGAACAGGAGAGGGGTTGCCTCACAGGACTCCAAAGGTCAAGTAGCCAACAGAGGCATTAGTGGTCCAGTGAGTCTGGAAACCAGAGAATTGAAGGAAGATTGTTGGTGAGCAGCCCCAGTCTGAAAAGCCATGGTATTGGTAATACTCCCAATCAAAAAGTATCCAGACCAAGTAGACCCAACTAACAGAGAAACCAAGATAAAACCAACAGTAGGGAAAGAAATAGAAGACAAAGGGACAAACAAACAAGAAAAGGTGGCCCACAAAAGTAATCATAATTGTGATGAAGTGCCACAGTGAAGGGAGAAGACAAAGAAGTAAAGCTTAGATGAAGAGGAACAATTTGCTGTAAAGAAGGAGAAATACAAGTGCCCCAAGCATATAGAAGGAACATATGAGATTGGGATTAAAAAAAAGAGAGAGAAGGGTCATGACCTTAGGACATAGCAAATGAGTCACGAAGACCAGGAGACAAAAAAAAATGACCAACTTGAAGGTGAAACAGAAGGAGGACCACAAAGTAAATCCACCCAAAATTCATCATGAGTTATGAACATAGCAAACAGAAAAGGAGGAAGTACATGTTCTTCAACAGAAAGAAAAGGGCCAGAAGCAAAGGCTGGAGGTGCAAAAGCTGGTCAAAATCATCCACAGGCGAGGCAAGCTCCACATAAGGCAATGAAACAGAATGATGAGGGACCTCAACTGGAGAAGAAGTAGGCATATAATAACCAACCACCTGATGTACAATAGCAGTGGACATGTTGTCATGCAATGGTGTACAACAGCCATATAAGATCACGTTAATTGATGTCCACATTAATCATAGTACCACACCACAGGTTAAAATCCAAGTCCTGTCACATGCCAAGCATTTGCTCTATTAAAAGAAACAGATTAATACTGAACATCAACTTCATGAACAAATAATGTGCCTCCAGCTGCTGTTGACATAGTTGGTGAAAATCCCTTAAGATGAATGACTGGGCCTTTATTTTTTATATTTGCAATTAGGTAGATGGAGCAAAAGTGACACGAGGACAAAAGTAATGTAGCACTAAATAATAGCAGTAAATTAAATTGACTAGAAACTCAAAAAGAACAGAAAAAACATTTGATCACAGGCAGTGCTGAAGAAAGAATGAGCCTATGACAATATGCTAGTGTTCATGGTGATTACTGCACATGGTGGTTGTGTTACCCTCTTACCAGTGGAGGGCTACAGCATTATGATAGGACAGCTGAATATACATAGACATATATAGGGGTTAGAGTTTGGTCAAGGCTTGTCGCATGCACAAAAAATTCCACAGAAGTTATGTGTGAGATAATATTTCTTAAAGGTGCAGATCCTGTCCGTTTCTGAACCCTTCAATTTTTGCTCATAATTTCTATCAGTATCATCCAGTGTGGATGTTTCACGATGATATTAGAACTGGGCAATTAGTAGTATTTACTAATAAATTAAACAATGGCTGGATTAACCAATTACATTAGATTGACTAATAAGTACAGTGTTGCTCAAACCATGGTACATAGCAGCAAATAAAAGAAAAGTTAGTGGTGAGTACTGCCAGCCACTTGCCTTCAATCTACTTAGTAGTTGAAGGAAAAGAAACCATAAAAATAAGATTGGTGATGGATGAGCAGCTGTTGCCTCCCCTCTAGTCAACAGTGCAAGAATTGAGAAAAAAGAAAAGTTGGTGGCATGTGCTGCCAGATGGTTGTTTTTCCTGTTGTCAGCAGTTCAAGGAAGAAAGAAAGTTGGCAGTTGGTGATGTCAGACAGTTGTCTTCCAAATTAAACACAATAGCAATATCTTGACTACTTGGATTGTTGTAATAATCAAAATTAGTAATTTTGATTAATAATTTGTTGGAATAATCAAAAACACTAATTTTGATTAGTTGATTATTTTTGAGACAATTGATGTAATTGGAATTTCAATTAATCAACTACTTGGTATAACACCAATGAATATAATTGCTGCTCATAGGTAATCAATTAAATAGCCCAACACTACATGTTATTTCATTCTATAAATATAAATCTAATATTAAAACATGACTCACCCCGCTGTGTGGCATCATCTTCATTACAAACACTTTGTGAACCTTTTAGTCCTTTGGTCTTCAAGTACAACTTTCCCTTGTATTTCTTTCGATGATGGTTGCTTTGATATTCATGGTCATCATTTTTCTTTGAAGCATTTTCAGAGAGAATTTGTAAAGATTGGCTCATTTCACTGCTGCTAGTTTTTTTTCCAGTCCTTTGATTGTATGCATCATCTAAATGATGGGGACTTTTTTCTGACATCACTTTTCTTGAATGTTTTTCTGAAAAAAAGTTTTTATTTTTACCCCAGTTATCCCCAGTCCAAGCATCAGAAGTTTTCCATTTCTTGCTTCTCCAGTTTTTTCCACATTTTGTCTCATTTTCCATGCCCAAGTTTTTTCTAACATGCTCTATGTGATTATCGTAGGTTTTATATCTGGCTCTTTCAGAGCTATTTGCTACAGGATACCAATTTGTATTTCTGTTTTCCTCCCTTTTCTTTGAAGTATGATCATGTTCTCTGGTCCTGTGATTGTTTCCTCTTTTTACATCACTGTTGGTGATGTTTTCTTCCCTAGTCTCTAAATCAGAAATTTTTTTGTTCTTTCTTGTTTCTTTTTTAGGAAATACTTCAGATTGGCTAAGACCTTTAGTTTGATACTGTTGAAAACTATCACTCTTCTGATTTATTTTTTCACAGTTATTACATTCATGAGTAATATTTCTTTCAATTAGTTCATTTGATGTTCTATCATTTTCTCTCCTATTTCTAACTGCAAGAAAAACCCCCTTTTTCTTGTTACTTTCATTTTTGCTTTCTCTCTCTGTATTTATACCTACATGTTTGTTTTTCATTCTATAACCTTTAGAAGATTCTTCTAGCTCTGCATTAGATTTAGAACTGCAATTATCACATTTTGCCTCCGCATGCATTGCTTCGGAAAACAATGACTCTGCAGATCTAGGCCCAATTTCAGATGATTCACTTTTTACACTTTGTTGTCGTTCTGATAACTCAGACATTTGTAACTCATTGTTATTATTGTTTGTACTTTGGCTGCTTAAGCTTCTATCGGAATTAATACTCCTATTGCTAGCACCTTCATTAGTTCTTTTACTGTCCCACTGTTGGTTTGTCTTTCTAATTTGATTTATTCTGCTGTTTTTTCTTACATAGTTTCTTCCACTGAACTGACCTGACTGGTTAATGTCATTTGACTGACATGTTCTGGGATCAAAAAAATGCTGAGTTCCACTTGCCTGAGTGGTCATACTAGCTTCTTCATACTGGTTGTTTGTGTACCATGGTGTATAAACATTAGGAACACTTACAAAACCTCCAGCAAACTGGTAATCTCTAACATATTGATATAAATTCACATCATAATAACTTGCATTAGAGTTGCATGTGGCAACAGGGTTTTGTGTAAACCCTGAAAACTTGTCATAATTGTAACTCATGTTAACAAAAGATGTTGATGCTACTGGGTAAGAACCTGTCAACACGTAGTTTTCTGTTGATAATAAAACATTATGAGCCAATCTGATGTTTTCACCAGCTTCCTGAATTCTGGAATAAGGTCCTTGGAAATGTTGCAGATTCTCTCCTGAATACATTATTGATGACCTAGATAAATTTTAAAAACAATTAATATGCATTATAATGCCTTTCATTTTGATTACTGTAGATATTTTAAGTTTGTAGTACATCATACATGCTATTAAAAAAAAAGACAAAAATTATTATAATAATCCTAAATTCTTTTATTTCTTACCTAAAATTCAGTTATTTTAAATAAAGTACAGATATTTACTCATGTCATCTTTTGAATATACAAGTTTTAAGAAATACATATCATATAACCACTGAAGAGGATTAACCTTTAAATATTCTTTTGAAAGCAAGGTTTAGTAAATGTAGATTTTTATTTGTATTAGATCTTTAAGCAGTTTGGTGTGGACTAACTGCAAAACACAATGATAACAGTTAGTAAACACCAAACCACCTAAACACCAAGAAACTAACCAAAAAAAAAAACAATTTACAACTTCTGTGAATGTGCATTATATAATTCAGTACTGAAAAAAATATACCAACAAAATATAAAACTTAAGGAGCATATTAGACATACAAGACTCAGTAATACTTATCTTTCTGTAAAGCTCAACATGCCAGAGAAGACTATACAGTAAAATATAATACAAACATAACAAAATACAAGTCACAAATGAGAAAAAAAAATAAAAGAAACCTATGTTTATCTAATTGATAATACATTGAGTCAACTTAGCAAAGAAATCTGCAAAACCTGAATACCCCAATAGTTGATCCACATTCTAATGGGAGAGGCCCCAGATGAGTGGATAGTAAACCAGACTTAGAAGCAAGAAGTCCCAGAATCAAATATGATCCACTACCTACACAGCAGACATCAGCAGATTACCAGCTGAAACTTCCATATAAAAACTAATCAGTAATTAGGATTTAGTTATAGAGAAACAAAAAAGGCTAATAATTAATAGCTAGACTTTGGTGATCGCAGAGGTTATTATGAGAATTTTTACCATTATAGAAGTCTAAGTGGCCTATGATTTCCATATCAACTCTTTTCACTTCCTTTAAAAATAGGACTAACACAAGCAACCCTCCAAGCCTCAAGCACCTTCCCACTGTCTACCAAAAATGAGAGGCTCACATGTCTGATTTTTGACCTTCTTTAATACCCTAAGGAAAATCTTAGGAGATCCTTGTACTTTATTTTAAACTCTCATTCTTTCTACTTACCATCAAGGGATTAATATCAGCATTATTTCAGGTCAATTCTAATTTCCCAGGGAATGCTAAGCATCAAAGCTATTGCCAATATGTTCTCTTGTGAAAACCGAAAAAACAAAAAACAATTAAAAGCTCAGCCATCTCACAGTCTTCAACAAAATCATTGCCACATTTAACTCTCTCAACATGGGCTTGGTCAATTTGACAGACCACATGACCTCTTTGTATTTGTTAAAAGTCTTTATAGATTTAATACTTTTAACTTTCAATACAGCAAGTATATCTTCACAAAATTTGACAGTCTTTCAGTTAATATTATAAGTTTTTTATAAAAAAAAATTATATTTTTAGCAAAGTATTTTTAATAAAATAAAGATTTGTCCATGAAAATATTGAGTATTTGTATTGAATAGTCCGTGTGCAAAGTAATTTTCATGTTAAAATTAAAAATACTTTTCCTCATCTCAAATTTCTTTTCCGTAATCTCTACAACCTCCTAAATGCATTTCAAATGTTTTTTTTCAGTAAAACTTTATGGTTTATCTTTAATTTTCTCTACCTTATCTCAAAACTGAATTGGTCAAAACCACCAAAAAATAAAAATAAAACAAATAGAAATTACTTTTTTTTTCCCTCTCTAGAATGACTTCAAATTGTAACATCGAACTACATTTGTTTATCCTAAGTAGATCTAAGTGTGTAACAGTATACATCTATATAATAATTACATTTTACTTTTTTTATTGCCCTTTAGACCATGTCTAACTACTACTCATGCCTTTATAAGTTTTAAATCACTCGGGAATGTCCAGCTCATGTTACGCTAACGAATTACATTACCCACAAGCTACTAAGAGCTGCTTGCGTGCCTCGTGAAACATTTTTATTATATTATTATTTTTATTTATTTTTCCTAATCTAATTTTAACTAACCTAAAAGGATCCCTATTTTTTACATTTTAGTTACTTTTATAATTATACATAAAGAATAAACATGAAAAACAAGAAATAAAATACTTAACCAATCTTTTTTCTTGCTGTCAGTTGTCAAAGAGTGTTAACCTTAATTTTTTACACTATAGATAGCAATGCACTTAATTTTTATCTAATTAAATAATGCACCAAAGAATATTGACTAATAACATGCAAAAATTAGACAAATTCTCTTACCTCTCAAAATTTTTTTGGCTTTCTAACTATGAGGCAAGAGTCATTACAAATTGATCCAACATAGTTGTTAACTTTCTCACAGGAACAATGTTGGTAATCTGAGTGAAATTGAAATTTAACTGTTGAGAACATAACGTTATACAATACATCATTTGATAGATGAAAATTTTGATTTTTATTGATTATACGTAATATATAATTAAACATAAGAGAGAACTATTAAGAAATTCTGAAAGAGAGGATGCTACAGGTAGGTTTGGTAGGAGGGCTCTGATTTTCTATTCGATAGCTCTGTAACAAAACAGAATTGAAGGCTACAAAAAACTATGGTTTGTCTGAACAATGATGATTTTATAATGAGTAATTTATGTTTAATTTTGTACTTTTTCGAAGGGTGGTGGATAAAATAGGGAAGATGACATGCTAAAAGAAAATGTGTCACATTGGTCACATGACGAGAAATTTAGGATTTTTAAAGTATTGCGTTGTAGAATGAAGAACTTAAAACTTATATACTATTAAAATATGGATTAGTAGCTAAGATTTTATGCTAGTCTAATTTGTATAACATAAAATTTTGAATGTAAGACACTAAAACCTTGTGTCATGTGCAGTAAAGGATACCCGGAGTGATAGGGTTAAGGGCCCAATCCACATTTACAAATTTTTCTTACCTTTAAATATCTAAAAAAAAATCTTGCTGTTGTTTGAGCATTATGAGCCAGAAAATTCTCATAAGCACTTTTGGATTTCCTAATTTTAATAAAATCTCCTAGCTTTCCTATAGTTCTGTACATTTTCTTAAACTTAGAGCATTCATTCCTGATTTTATTCTTTATGCATTTAATGAACCAATTAGGTTTGATCTTCCCTATTACCTTTTTCTTCTTAATGTCGCTTGTTTTTAGATGAAAAAACCCAAACAAAACATTTAGTAAATGAAATAGTCTCCATTCTAATCGATTTTGCTTTTCCATCTTACAATCAGGTTGTTAATGGCCTGATTAAAGAAATCACTTGGCTTTGAAGCAAAAAAAACTGTCGATGTCCTCGTTAACACCTTCCACATTTGCATACATTTCCCCATTAAAATGGTGTTGCAGCGAACAAAAAAAAGATGGTAATCTGATGGCCCCATATCTGGAGAATATGGCAGGTGGAGTAGAACTTCCCAACCCAACTCCATAATCTTGTGTTGCATCAAACGTGCCACATATGGACATGCATTGTTGTGGAAAAGAAGAACACCTTTCTGATTGATGAGTAAAGGGCGTTTCTGATAAAGGGCTTTATTTAAATGTTCCAGTTGCTGACTATAGGTCTCTGCATTGACAGTTCGCTGTGGATTGAGGAGTTATAAATGAATTACTCCTTTGATGTCCCACCAAATGCAAAGCATCACTTTCTGCAGATGGAGTCCAGGTTTTGGGATCGGAAGTGGTTTTTGTCTCAGTTTGAGCCATTGTTTTTGGCATTTAATATTCCTATAGAGAATCCATTTTTCATCACTGGTGACAATTCTGTCTAAAAATGGAAACGTTGATTATCAGAGAGTTCGTGAGGCAGCCAAACACCTTCTTTATGGAGTTTTCCAATATTCCTTAGATGTTTACGTATTGTCTTCAGAGCATCAATATCAGTTCCAACATGTCGGCCCCTGCCATCACAGTTTTTAAGGCTAAACTCACCTGAAGGAAATTTGCTGAACCATCGTTGACACTTACTAATGTTCAAAACATTTCCATTTCTTTGATATTCTTTGTGGGTACAAAGGCATTGTTTCCCTTCTTGTATTCAAACAGCATTACATGCTAAATGTATGTCTCATCATGTACCATCACTATAAGGGATTACAGTATACTAGACTTTACACATTATATAGGCTACACTGACGTGACGTTTATGTGGTTCGTTTAACTATTATATGTAATGTATGATTTTTTGGGGAGGTTAATGAAAGTGTTCCAAAATGCAACATTAATTTCTTGATGACCTAATACAAACAATTCACCTTTAAAGATTTTGAAACCAAAGTTTCATTTCTTTTTATCTCTACATGTAGCAAAACATTAAAACTAATTATGCAATGATCACTCTTCATCAAATGTTCCCTTACTTCAACTCTTGCAACCATATGCTCATTAGTAGATAACAATAAACCAAAAATGGTGCACTCCTGGTTGCATTTCTGACATTTGGCATAGCAAATTATTGTGAATCACTACACCAAATCTCTAATCTATATAACTTCATACAATCTCAATAAATACGTCTAAGATAAAAGCATTCTTACTAGTATATTGGCACCAGTATTCTTAATTCATATCAGTAACAACTATGATTCTATTACAATGTAAGCAGAAGGAGACACAAAAAGAAAGAGGCTGAGTCTGCCACACATATTAAGTGAGAGGGACCCTTAAATAAATGAGATATAGGATGGGGGGTTCAGACTGAATTGGAAAGCCAAACAAGCCATCCTATCTGACATAACTACTGAAGGAAGTCACATAATGGAAGGGGCAAGTACAGAGAGTAGCTGAACAATAGGCATTATGACTGTAATCTCCAAGTAAAAACCCACCAGACTCAATGAAAAAAGATGTGGTCAAAGTCAACTCATATAGAAGGATTGGGATCCAAATGTTTGACCACTGCAAACATAGTGAAGAAAGTGAAAT